TTGAGTAAAAACATTTAAATAATAAAGCTAGAATATATTAAAAGAACAAAATGAATAATAAAATAAAGGAAAGTAAAAAAGTAAAAAAAATTTAATAGACTATGAACCAATATAGTCGAAAGAACACAGAAATAATAAATATATTATCAGGAATTCATTAGAATACCATTTAGTAGGTGTAACAATATAGAAGTAATAGGAATAATAATATAAAATATTAGGGAAGAAGTCAAATAAATGATAAATGTTCAATAAAAAACGAAAATTTTCATATAACAAAATATGTTATTTAGGTACATTCAATGTACGGTATTATTTATGAAGATGAAAATTATGGATTAATACAACAAAAAATTTGGGTCTTGGAAGTAAACCAATACAAATTATAATCGTTTATTTTTAACCTTTAGTAACAACCAAAATATATTATTTATTTTATAATTTATTTCATAATTTCAAATTTTTTTTACATTAAAGCTATACGTCATAGATTTATCTATATAAAACTATTTTTTTCCTTATTATTTTATCATTTATAAGTTTTACTTCACCTTTCCCCTAACTAATTCTTAATTTTATTGTTTTCCCAGTTAACTATATAAACTTTAAATATGGATTATATATAATATCTCTGTAAATGCTATAAAGATCTCTATATTTTACAACCATTATTATAAATTAATAATACTCATACCTCTTTTTCTTCCTCCCTTGGACGACTTTGGAAAAATAAAATATATGATTAAATAAACATATTGAAATCTTTGAAAGCCTTAAAAAGAACAGGTATTAAAATATATATTAATTAGACAAAAAAAGAATAATTATATTAACTATTAGCATAAAATTAATAGGTTAATTATATATATATTCAAGATATCATATATTTTTCACTAGAATTTTATATGAATATTATTAATAAAAATGGAGTACTACAAAGATAAGGGTAAGGATAAATTACCCATGCTGATAAAATATGAAATAATTAATCTTTTATTTACTTTGATTACAAATCATTTTTAATAACTTTTAAACAATAAACATGTTATAATATAATTTAGTTATCTGATGAAATATTAACATATTATCAAATACTATTTAATATAATCCTAAATTTTTCCCTTAATACAAAAATAAAAACAGTATTTGGAATGTTGATGAAGTGATAAAATTTATATTTTAATTTATATGCTAATTGTTTAATAAATTTATATTAGTAACTTGGAATAATTTAATTTTTGTTTACCCTTTAATATATAAGTTAATTTTATTCTCAATTGAAGGAAATAAGTTAAAATAGTAACTAGGTAGAAACCATAATTATTATGCTATATTAAATAATAATTTTACAACTAATACCCACCATATAATATATTTATATCATTATTTTACTCATTTATCTTTTCATCATTAATTTACCAATATATATTATTTTAACCTCTTTTAAAATATATGTAATATAATATTATTAACCAATTTATTAACGAAAATAGGTTTTATTATATGATTTAATCAAATATATTAGCAATTAAACTTTTTTAATTATTTTTGAAAATTCAAACAAAAAAATTAAAATTTTCCAAAAAATTTTTCAATAATACCTTTGGCTTGGTAAAATTTGGGTGAAATTTATTTACAGATAAGCTAAATAATTTAATTGTAGAGAAAAGAACAAAAATGTAAAAGAATGATGGAAGTCTATCGAAGGATAAGAAAATAGAAAAAATATTTGTAGTAATAAAACATGAATAAATAGGTAAAGTATTAATAGTATAATTTATATACGAAAGATAAAGGAGGATGAATATAGTGAATGTAAAAATAAGTATATGAATGAAAAGCCATATATTATAGAATATTATCATCATGAAGTAATATGATAGGTTAATTGTATCAACAAATGTATAGCAAATTATTTGAATTCCTTATATAGTAAAATGGCACAGATAAAAAAAAGGCTATTAAAATATAGGACATTACAATTACCTATGTTAAATAAGTCTTTATTCAACCATAATAGGGATTATAGATAGTAACAAATATATTAGAATAAATAAGATAGTTCTAGAGATACATCATACGAAAATAACAAATGTTCAATTTTGGTAGATAATGTATTTAATCCTACAGAATAACCCTATTAATAAAATTATTACTCAATAGATATCTTCCCATTAATCTCCAGCATATTTTTACCATTAAGTGAGTATTTTATATTTCATGGAATTATATTTACACCCTAGTTTTATTTATCTTTTTTTTAGTGTTGAACTAATTATGTCATTTATTTTATTATCCATTTAATTTTTTTATAAATATAATATTAATAATTTACAAATATATATGTTTATCAAAGATAAACGGATATAAAATTTTATGGTTAATTAAATAACATACATCTCAGAAAATATCTTTGATATTTGCGGTCAATACTCTAAATAGAATTTAACATGCAAGAATAACAATAGTATTTAAAGATACAAATATATAAAAATTAGATTGGTAAAATCAATATAATTATTCAATTTTATAATTAAATTTAATATTGGACCAATTCCCATTAATATTAATAATATTAAATTCATTACACTTTTTTCTTTTCCACCCCCGGATAAATCCGACCCCTCTAGGGGTATTTCCAAAATATTTACCTTTCCATTGGTCTCACAGTTATGGGAGATATAATATAATTAATATTTTAGCTTATAAAGACAATATTGTGAATAAATTTTGAATTTTAAGGTTATTGTTATTATACATATAGGAAATTTAGCTAAATATGAGACTTCTATTTTACTTAGTTTTAGGATATTCAAGGGTGACCTTTTCATCCAAATACATTCTATGAATTAAACTAGATTTGTAAGTATTTGATATAATCTTTGAATACAGATGGTCTTTACTATGAATACCCATTAATTTCATTAATGTTAATTTATCTCCAATTTGTTTTATTTTGGTATGTCATTATTGGATTTGTCCTAGAATAGTTTTCAGAAATATTTTCATCTTTTATGTTACATCTTTTTTTGATGTTTTTCATTTCTTTTAGTTACAGTATGCTTCGCTCCTAAGATTTGCCTATTTGAGTTAATTTTATTTAAATAATGTTTATTTTACTGTTATTTATCTTATTGAGTTTTGATTTATTTCAAACCATTTAGATCCGTTTATCTTTGATAAACAAGGATGCCTTGAAAAAAATTTTGGCTCCAGATTCAATAATTTACATTTTCAAACGCTTTACTTTATAAGTCATTAGATACAAAGTTTGCTATTAAAGGAGATACCCCCCTTGCACACCACTATCAGTAGATTTTACTTAATTATTACAATTATTTTACCCGTTTTAAGCCATTCTAATAAAAATTTATAATTCATTCTGTGTTTATCCAGTTATTTTCAATAACTTTTTAATATCGAAATCTAATATAATTCTATTTTCAGGATTCTTTTGTAATCTTAATGCTACCGATAAAATTACCTAAATTAATACGAATCTAAATATTTACGACATGATCAAAAATTAATCTAAACATTATACTACTTTTTTTATTATTATTGGAATACGGTATAATTTTATCATTAGCTTTAGGTTAATATTCTGACATATTCATCGAGATATAACTTTTTATCTTTGTTATAGTGCTTTTTCATCCTTATCTTATATCTTATTTACATGGGGTGTTCGACATAAGCTATTTATAATAACTGGAAAAAGAATTGTAATTATTACATAATTTTCAATAAAATCATTATATTACCATTTGTTTACCAATCTAATTTTTATATATTTGTCCCTTTATAAACTATAGTTATTTTTGCCAACTTTAGACTATGGAGGTGTCCCTATTAATAATAAAAAATAATAATATATAAAAATAAATAAAAGAAGAAAAAAAATAATAATAAAGGAAAGTCTGAAAAAACTGAATAAAAATCAGATATAAAAATATATAGTAAAAAAAAAGAATGATAAAAAAAAAGACTTAAAAAGAAAAAAAAGTGAAAAAAAAACACTAATCAGCTTATTTATAATTATAAAAATAAAAAAATAAAAAAAAATAATAAAACGAAAAAGGAAAGTAAAAAAGAAAATAAATAAAATTTAACAGACTATAAAAAAATATAGTCGAAAGGCTACAGTTATAACAAATTTATTATCAGCAATACCATATATAGGTAATCATTTAGTAGAATTAGCTTGAGGAGGTTTTAGTGTAGATAATCCAACTTTAAATAGATTTTATAGTTTACATTATTTATTACCATTTATATTAGCAGCATTAGTAATAGCTCATTTAATAGCATTACATAAAGATGGATCTAATAACCCATTAGGATATGGTTCAAATGGAGATAAAATACCATTTCATCCATATTTTACATTTAAAGATATAGCCGGTATATTAGGATTTATATTAATATTATCATTTATAGTATTTTTTTATCCAAATATATTAGGTCATTCAGATAATTATATACCTGCTAATCCTATGGTAACACCTACATCTATAGTACCTGAGTGATATCTTTTACCATTTTATGCAATATTAAGATCAATACCAAGTAAATTAGGAGGAGTATTAGCAATGTTTGGTTCATTGTTAATATTATTAATATTACCATATATAGATTATTCAAGAATAAGAGGAAATACATTTAAACCATTAAGTAAAATATTATTTTATATATTTATATTAAATTTTATATTATTAATGTGATTAGGAAGTCAACATGTTGAAGAACCATTTATATTATTAGGACAAATATCAACATTATTATATTTTATATATTTTCCAATAATATTAGTAATATCTATAATTGAAAATACTTTAATAGATATTGCCGTTAATCGATAAACATTGAATATAATATGAGATACATAAAAATAAAATATCCATAGCGGATATTCACGTATCTTTCGTTATTTTGGTATATATATTAACCGTATCGATATGTTATATAAACGGATTAACATGTATATTTGTTATATATAAAAGAAAATAATTTAATTGGTAAAATATTGATCTTCAAAATCAACTATATAGGTTCAAATCCTATTTTTCTTGTTATATAAATATGATATAAATCAATATAAAAAGTATAATCATATATTATATGTTAGGTATAACATTATATTTTATAGGTATATATGGTATAATATTAAATAATAAAAATTATTTACAAATTTTAATATGTCTTGAAATATTATTATTAGCTGTTAATATTATATTATTAACTTTTTCATTAAATAATGATGATATTATTGGTCAATTATTTGCTTTATATATTATTGCTATTGCTGGTGCTGAAACAGCTATAGGATTAGCTATAGTAATATCATATTATAGATTAAGAGGTTCAATAAATATATAAATAAACAATTTAATATTTGTATATTTTTATATAATATTTATTATGTTTAGGATAATAAAAAATCATCCTATATTATCCATAATAAATAATATGATAGTAGATTATGCTACTCCTTCAAATATATCATATTTATGAAACTATGGTATATTATTAGGATTATGTTTAGTTATACAAATTATAACCGGTATAACATTAGCTATGCATTATACACCTAATACAGATTTAGCTTTTATATCAATTGAACATATAATGAGAGATGTTAATAATGGTTGATTAATAAGATATACTCATGCTAATGTTGCATCCTTTTTCTTTATTTTTGTATATATACATATAGGTAAAGCATTATATTATGGTTCATATCGTAAACCAAGAATATTATTATGAACTATTGGTGTTATTATTTTTATTTTAATGATGGCTTTTAGTGACCATTTTTTATGATTACGGTTAATTTTTTTTTAGACCGTCGATTTTTCGCTACAGATTACTACATAAACTTTTAATGTTTAATCGTTTTTACTTTATATGATTTTTTGATATTGTTTTTGACTGCTTTTTTAGGTTATGTTTTAGTTTGAGGACAAATGAGTTTATGAGGTTTATGTATCTTATTTGGCGAATAATAGGAATTGAACCTATATATACAATACCACAAATTGTTATTTTACCTTTAAATTATATTCGCCTTTCTTTTTACGGATAGTGAGATTTGAACTCACAAGGATTTCTCCAATATATTCTAAATATATTTTGTTTACCTATTTCATCATATCCGTTTCGTTTTATTTATATTTTAATGCACCTTTTGTATATTCATAAAAAAATCCTATTGTTAATAATATTACAAATATCATCATTATTATTCAACCATATATTGATAATTCATATAATAATAATGCAAATGGAAATAATAATATAATTTCTAAATCAAATATTAAAAATAATATTGCTACTAAAAAAAATTGTATTTTAAATTTTTCTCTTGCATCTCCTAATGGATTTATTCCGCCATATTCTGGACTTTATTTTACATATATGTTATTTTTTAAAGTCTCTGAAAATAAATTTGCATATACACGGGCACCGGGTGTTGGTGTTTATTGTTTTGCATATAAAAATATATGAGC